TTTCTGCAGAAGGGGAGGGATAAGGGCCATTGCTCTGCCTCCCTGAAGCCAAGGAGTTCCTGCGTTTTCATTAACCCACGCCAGTGGTAAGTCTGGCAGCTAACGGGACCCTATGCTGGATGACTCTGCTATGCCCTCCACTGAAACCTGTGTGGTCCCCCAAGAGGCCAGCACACATCTGACAGTGGTGAGGCCGGTTTCCCACAGACAAGTGTGTTCTCAGACCTGAGAGCAGGGTTGGGTGTGCCCTGACACAGCTGTGTCCACTAGATGGCCTCCCCTACTCTTACCTAGATGCACAAGTCTCTGAGGGGCCCCTGCTGGCTTCTCCTGACATCCTCCCCTCCAGACTGCTGGGTGAGTCAGGAAGGTGTCTCCTCGGGAAGCTGTGTGCCCAGGCCAGCCTCTTTCAGCAGTCGTGACTGAGGACACGCTGTGCTCAGCCTGTTGGCTCCACTCTGGAGCACAAAGTATGTGTTACAACAACAAGCGCAAGAATCCTGACCACACTCTTCCCTATCTCTAGATCTGTAACGAGAATGTTTGAAGTAAATGCATACGATCGAGAAATAGGGCTGCGAGTTAGAATGCTAGCAGAGATTCCGATTGGCGGCCCTGAGACACACATTCTTTTGCTCTCTGAATCCAGACCCCACACATTCTGGAAGAAAAGCAGCAGTCAGAAGAAGATGGGAAAAACAGATCGTGTTTATGAGACCAGCTTGAAGACCATGCCACACTGAAGGGTTCGGCTTTTCACATGGCAGAGAAACTAGCAGCTTTTTCACAATGTTCATTGAAAACTTGCCCAGCATCTGTCATTCTGACTCTTGGGCTTCAGAATCATTGTCTTGGAATCTGCTAAGCCAGTATGACCATAAGTATTTTACTTTAAACATGGAACTTAGGGGAAAGACCTAAACAGTTTCCAAAGCAATAAAATTAAAAAGTAAGAAAAAGTGGATTAAAAATAAAGGATGCACCCTTCCCCGCCAGTCCCTCTGTTTAATCTTCTACAAATGCTGTGTCATCTCTGTTTTCCTAAGAGTTCACTTAAAGAATCCATGCAAGCTGAATGTTTCAGGTAGTAAGTCACGTAGAGGAAAGACTTTTACTATTTCCGATGTCTCATGAATTGATATTTTGTAAGGTTGGCACAAGACTGAGCATCTAGTACCTGGCTTAATGGCAGGATAAAGAACCTGATCTAGGCTCTCTCTTGCAGGCAGCCACCGTCTTGAACATCCCTCCCCAATGCTGATTGATGAAGCTTCAGGTGAAAGCCTAACTCTTCATCATACGAGTTGGGACCCCTAAGATCATGCTTATTGATGTCTGAAGTGGGAGGGAAGGGCCCTATGTTCAACCCACACACAGGACACAGAGCAGCAGTGGGATCAAGCACCTCCCCGGGAACACCAACTCTATTTGCTTCAGTGACCAGGCGGGGGCTAATCTCCACTTGCTACAATCATGTAAGTGTCAACAGAAAACATGCTGTATGTACAGAGCATGTGCATTTCTGCAAGTGCTCCAGTGTTTAATTGTTGCTAAAGTCATTTGGGGTTTTTGACACAGATTCTATTTTAGTAAGATAAACTCAGCATGACCCAGCATTGCCAAAAACGAATTCCTAAGGTAGATGACTAAAATAAACCAGCAATAAATATTGGCTGTTGGAATGGGAATTATATCTCTGTAATGTAGACACAGCATTACTGACTCATTTTCAAATTACAGTGTCTCCCAGGGATTGCTGGTACCAAGGATCAGAGAAAAAAGAAGTCCATCTCTCTTTCAGGCAGCAGAACTGAGGAAACAAGAGCCCATCAGGCAAGGATGTTCTTATGTCTATTTTAGCTCCTAGAATCCAACAGGAGGTTGACCTGGACAGGCTGCTTTGAGGCAGAAATAAGGCACTGAAAGAAAAGCTCCTAGGGAAGGAGGGGACGCATTGTGGGGACAGTTTTCTCTCACTCCCTGGAGGCAGGATGCACCCCAGGTCCGCCTCCTGCATCTCACGTGGCACGAGTTACCTTATCGGTTCTATGGGGCGCTGCCATGGTCCTTTGCTGCTTGGGATTAGCGGGCTCCTTTAGCCCACCTGTACTCCCTAAATTCTGCTCCTGTAGCCCACGAGGTTGAGCTTTACAACTTCTCTGGTGGACCAGGAGGCGGTCTGGGGCAAAGGTGCGGCCACAGTTGGGGCAGGGCACCAGCTGGGCTTCGCTGATGCCCTCGCGGCTCTGCTGTCCGCCTGGAAGCGGCTGGGGCTTCTGCGGGAGTGGCCGGCGGAGCTCCCTGGGGAGCTGGTCATTTTCTATTTTCCACTTTTCCAGGCATTTGGGCTCATGAATAGGAAGGGACAGGGTGCCAAATTCCCTACCGCAAATGTAGCAGATAAGAGTCCTGGGTCGGGCTGACACTCCACTGGGAGCTCTCTTGAGGGCAGTGAGACTGTCAGACCTGTCGGGGTCTGGGGCTCGGGGCTCCTCACCCCTGGGCCTGCAGCTCCTCTGGTGAACCAGGAGACGGTCGGGCAAGAACGTGCGGCCGCAGGACTCGCAGGGCAGAAGCTGCGCCTGGGCGCTCTGAAAGGCCGCCTGGTTAGCCGCCTGCAGACCCCAGGGCCCGCCGCCCACCGCCTGGGGTTTGGAGGGTTCGGGCCGCCTCAGGTGCTTGGGCAGCCTGCTGTTTTCAATTCTCCACTTCTCCAAGCACTGGGGCTCGTGGATGGCCAGCGACTGGGACCCAAACTCTCGGCCGCAGATGTAGCACACCCGGAACCGCGGCCTGCGCGGTGGGATCTCGGGCGGGCCGAGCTGGCCGCCGGGCATCGTCCTCCTCCCCGACCGTCTGGACACGATCACAGTCCCAGGTCTGCTTTTCTGAGCGCTGCTGTCTGATTTTTCTCTGGGACTGGAGCGCTCCGTTTCTGGCAAAAGGCTGGAGTGGGAGTGGTGAGACAGGACAGCGTGGTTGATGAGGAAGGTGGGTTCTTTAGAACCCTGAAAAGTTTGCTGCAATTTGTTGGAACCCCTTTTCGCCGTTCCCCTTTCCATGAACAAGTCTTTCTCTAGGGCCTGTTCCAGGCCAGGTCGGACTCACTTGGGGCTTCTGCTGAGAGGGAAGGTTACTGAGGTTGCCTGTCCTGGGGTTTACATCGCTGCCAGTACCTTAGTCCCAAAGTCCGTGACTCAGAGCTTCACTGCAGGGCGGCAGCCTGGAATGTTGGAAAGTCCCCATTGAACCTCAGATGTCTCCAAGATCTGTGGGAGGAGGAGGGAGACGCAAACCGAGAAGTTTTTATGTATAAACACACACTCCCACACCCTCGCCCTGCACTCTGATAAACGGCATAAAGAGCAGTGGGGTTTTATTTTTATTTTTTGATCTCGTATCATCTTTTTAACCTAGGAACCAGAACCATAGGATTTGATCAATAAACTTTGAAATAAATATGAAGAACTTCCCCCATCACGAACTGTGGCGTTACCACCCTGAAAGGAATATTCTCTCCAAAGAGAAACGGACCGTTACAACATGGACACGAATGGCAGAAACCAACAGAGGCTGAGGCCAGGTGGCGAGACCATCCATGGGGAACCAGAAACTGTGAAAATGAATGAAATCAGCAGGTCACATGAACAGACTCCCCTGAACCCCGCCCACCCCAGAAACTTCCACTACCTCAGGGATTCTCAACACGTACTCCATGGATCCCTTAGACAGTTCTGGGAAGCCTGTGGATGTCTTCTCAGAATGATGTTTTTTACAGCAAAAAATAAAAATTGTTATTACTACACTAATACCAATGTTATTGAAATAATTTCTCTAATATGCTTAGTTGTAATATACATTTTCATTGAGATATAGTTGTCTCTCACCCTTCATGAGTGTCCCTGGACCTGAAACCAAGAAACTCTGCAAAAGTAGTAATTTAATTCAGTGGTTAATATTATGAGGATGATCAGAAAAATGCTCAGAGGAGTATAAACTTGTGATCCTCTACGAGTCCACTTTTCTTTATTATGGAAAAGGGATATTAAGTATGGTCACAATTCTCAAGCAAGGAATGTAACCGAGGCCTATACCTGTGGACGTTTGCAAATCTTGTCTGGGATAAATATGCTCAGACATGACTTAGTGCTCTCATTTCAGGTATCATACTTATTTTCTTGTCGTATATATATTTATATATGTATATACACACATACAGGGTGTATAATTTAAAATTTACAAGTATTTTAAATTGCACATGAACATTATGGACACCCTATACTTATATACCCCCAATTTTTTTAAAAAATAAAATTAAGACCACTGGATTTCCCAAACAAACCAGAAGAGAGGGCTGGTAAGATCCCATTATGGACACAAGCCTGTGTTTTTATCTTGGGGAAAGTCATAAGTAAATACCATATACCCCAGGTCTATAATCTAGCTCCAAATAATGATTAATTTCAGGACCCTCAGGACTTTATTCATTCCCTGAAGGATAACCCAGAGTTAGAGACTCCAGAGCATCCATTTCCAGTCGGGCAAGGAGCAGCCCCTAGCTGATGTGAGGCTGGTCCCCGCCTACCACGCGAACACTGGAGTTCAGGCAGAGCAAGGAGGGCAGTGCTGGTAACGCAGAACACGGGCATTGTGTGTGACGAGGGGCAAAGACACGGGAAGACCTGTGCCCAGTTCCTGTCCTGTGGTCTGAATCTCTGCACTTTAGAGTATCAGATCAGGTCTGGCATGGACAAGGAAGTTATTCTTCATTTTGACAGATCCTAAGACAGTAATATTAACACATGTGGCAAAAGTATGTGTTGGCCCCAGAGTGGCCAGCACAGAAAATGAAGCTTAGAAAAATTTATCCTTTGGTCAGCACCATCCAAAAGAGAAAGTAGGTCTAGGAACACAGTCATAGGGTAAAAATATTTCATTAGGTTGGTATCGGCCCACAGGCAAAATAGCCCCCAAGCTACTCTGCTTCATTGGCTTGGATTTCTGGTTCACCAAGGACAGTTAGTTTTTCATTTTCCTTGATACCAAGAAGTTGCACACTAACACTACTATTTAAGAAGACATGTTTCAGAAATTAATGCAATCAAATAAATTCCTTCCCCTAATAGCCCTTTTTCACATATACATGTACATATACATGCACACACACACACACATTCACCCACAGACATTATCGATTCTGTTCCCAGCAGAGGAGAATATGGAGAAAACCCACGTTTTGCCCTGACAACTCCTCCATCTCCCTCCTGATAAGGTAAGAGAAGTGAAAAACCTTGAATGCTAATTATATGCCAGATATTGCCCTAATTTTTGTAAATATAATTTTAGTGAATTTTTAAATGAATATGAAGCAGGTGTTCCTGTTTTAATTTTATAAACAAAGAAAAATGTGACTCAGAAAAGAGAAGTAACTTGCCCAAGACAGTCAGTTTCTAAACGACAGAAGTGCAAACCCATTCCAGTTCTCTTTGGCTCCGATACACGTCTCTTTCCATTATTCATTCGGCCTGAATTCCACCGCCGAGCTTCTTCCCTTTAGTTGTCATGCCTGTTTTAATGTACTATTCATCTGCCTCATGGGACGGTAACTAGGGTCCCCCAGGCTTTATGCTCCCCTTTAGGAGAAGGAGGGGGCAAAAGGGAAGGTGGGGGGACAAGACACAGAGCAGAAATGTCCGAGATGAGAAAAGCAGGAAAGAGGGATTATCAACCGAAGGCGATGTTTTTCTTTAAGCGACAGCAACTGTTCCATTTTGCTATATGTAAGTGGTTTTCTAGATGGAGGTCTTTTCCTGAGTGACGTTCACTACAAATCCTTTTTCCCAATTTCACTATCATCTTGAGAAAGACAGAATCAGGGATAGGGATGGGGGGGGGGCTTGGGGTAGGTCAGCTGTGAAAGAAGTGTCTAGTCTGTCTCTACGGTGAGCTCAGGGTAAAAGTGAAGGCCACACAGAGGCCGCCAGGGTTCATCCTGCAGCCAGGTCACCGGTGATTAGGGAGGGGTCTTCAGTGCACATGAAATTCTTACTGGCGTCATCACCGTTTCCTTTTCTCTACCACCCCTTTCCTCTTCCAATGTGTTCTTGACATTATTTGCTTGTATCAGTAAAGGTATCAAAGTATGAAAGATGAGGTAGCTGGAAGTTAGGGACATTTTTGGGGGCTGAGGCGTCTGACAGAGAAATGTATGATGTTTCTGCCAGCGATTCTGCTAAGGCAACGTGCCATGGCATGGCATGGTCAGCCGCTCTGCCCTGTGGTGAGTTCTAAAATCAAAAATGCTGGGAAATACTAAATACATATTCTTAAATCACTTAATTGGCCTGTCACCCAGACGCATTGTAAAGCAGTGTCACTAGTTTATAAAGAGAATTGCTTTACAAAGCCAGACAGTTTCACCCGAAGCATCTCTGGAGAAATGTTCACTCAGTTGGCCTGAATTATTCATTTTGACCATATTTGCACATAGGACATGTAAGGAATGTCTTGGAAGGCATCACATTGTATCAGTATGATACTAGTTTTCCATTCCTTTGGGGGTTCATGGGAAGGGAGAGATAAACTCACAAAGATGAATGTAATAACCATCAAAATCCAGAACCCCTCTTGGCTTTAGAAGGTCTTTCTCTAAAACACATGAGAAAGAACACAACCAAAAATTTGATTCAATCTTTTAAATGATAATTTAGTCCTTTGAAACAAAATATAAATGGCATATGACATGACCCCTTCCCTTTAATATAGAGCTCACATTCTTTAAATGGACAAAAATATAAATAAGGAAGATGGAGTTGGGGCTGATGTTGGCTGAGAGTAAAATTCTAAAATAGAGGACACTTGTCTTTAAGATAACTTCATCCACCTCATTCCGTGCCATGGACTCTCTTCAGTCTGGTTTCCTCATATATTCTCCAGTCTTTATCACCTATAACATCTCACTTCAAAAAGGAGTTCACATTAAGGCTTATGACTAATGAGGTAAAATCCTCCAGAGTCTGGTAGAGACAGTTAATTCTCTATAGTTTCCATTCTGCTCAACCCCCTTAAACAGAGTCCCAGTTTTTAGCGGGCACATGATTTCCCAGTTAAAATCTACAAGCTCATTTGTAGCTAGGGGAAATATTATGTGGAACTTACAAGAAAGAGGATCACAATTCTCTTTAAAAAGAAAGAGGATCACAATCTCTTCCTCTTCCTTTCTTTCATACTGATGCTTAGAACATAAATGTGATGGCTGGAGCTCTAGCAGCCATGTTAGAACAGATTATCTCCTCATGGCACTTGAGATGACAGAGCAGAGACTTGAATGAATTTGGTTCCCTGGTAATGTCAGAGCCACCATATGAGCTTTGGAGTGCCTTCTTTGGACTTTTATTTATGCAAGAGAAATAAACATTTATTTGTGATTTAGCTGCTTTTTAAGGGTCTCTGACTCAACATTGAAAACCTAATCTTAATTGAAATTATCTAAATTTTAATAGTGGTCATTGATTAAGCACAAATCAGTGATTTTCAAGGTTCAGGATCTTTTATTTTTGATTAGAGAAATTTTATATGAAGGAGTATGTGTTTTGGGGGGAAAATTGACTTATTAAATATATACTTTTCTCCGAAAATAAAAAATAAAAACTTGAGGCCTGTAATCCCAGGACTTTGAGGTTAGAAGTTCAAGGCCATCCTGGGCAACATAGTGAGACACGGTCTCTACCAAAAAAATTAAAAATTAGCCAGGCATGGTGCTGTGAACCTGTAATTCAAGATACTCAGGAGGCTGAAGCAGGAGAATAACTTTTTCCCAGGAGTTTGAGGCTACACTGAGCTATCATCATGCCACTGCACTCCAGCCTGGGCAATAGAGCAAGACCCCATTGCTAAAAAACCAAAACTTAAAAAATTTCAAAAAACTACACAGTAAGTAGAACCTCCCTAATTGACCACCTCCCTACAGAGACCACCTCCTTATGTTGACCTAATTTTGATAGAACAGACATGCACCACATATACATATCAATACAGCAGGCCTAGTTCCTTATGTTGACCA